TATAAAGAAATTAATTTGTTTTTCCAATTTTTGTTATGAATAATTTTTAATTTTTTGATTGATTTTTATAAAATTTATGAAATGGATTTAATTAAAGTTTGTGAATTTGTTTTTATCAAAACATTTGGAATTTTATTTATTATTATTATCAAGTTTTCCCTACATTGAATTTTTCGTTTGTTTTTTTTTTGCAAACAGACCACAACATTCCTTCAGTATGTGTAATTTTTGATTTTTTTACTTGGTCATCATGTACCAACAACAACAACTTTTGCAAGCTAAACTAATACATTTATTGTATTTTATTATGAAAAAATATTTAATCATGAACACAAAACGTTCGTATAAAGCTTCGGCAAGTGATAAGGTTGAAAAGCGAACGTTTAGATGCCAACGCTATTTTTGTATCTAAACAAAAATAAATGTTGCGGCAATATTTCTTTCCCTTGTACATATGTATGTAACTTAAAATAACCCATATGAAAAACAAAGCTCTGAAAGACAAACGCAGCTTATGTATGTAAAAACAATTGAAAGAAATATGTAAAAAAGAACAAAATATTATAACTAAAATCAATAGCTAATATTCAAACAAAAAATAAAAAACAAAATAAATAAAAATGTGCACATATTTGTACGAATGATAAATTGTGAACAAAATCATTATGAAAATACAATAAAATATTTAAACAAATATATTCCAGCACTTGTTCAAACCATGGAGAATTAGTTATTTTAGCAGCATAAAAAAAAACATGCACAAAGCAAAACAATTGTAAATAGACATATACCTAAACACATATAAATATCTATAACTATGTTCAAATAAAAAAGAAAACAACAACTATTGTAGTAATTTCAGAAATAAACTGAATTAAAAAAAAAATCAAGTATATATGTAACGCATAAGCTATATATTTAGTAGTGAAGTCTCATATGGGCACTAATCAGCGCCAGCAGTGTACTAAGCGAGCAATCCAATGGACCAGCTAATAAAGGTGGATGCAAATTGAAGCAAACTCTGAACTAGTCTATTTGTTACTTTATTGTTTCTTATTATTAATATTAATTTTTTTTTTTTTTTTGTAATAATTTTAGCATACGCTCTTTTTCCAAATGTTGTTAAATTAAGAAAAATTGTTTAATTAACTGATTTTTGGATAGTTGTATGTAAAATTTACTTATACATATGTATTAGGTATTGAAATATAAACAATAATATTTACACGTATTTTTTATCATAAAACCATTGTCTGAATAATGTAATAATAATTTTTGAACTACGTTAATATTTAATGAGAATTGTATGCATAAAACAACCTAATTATGCTATTAAGGATGTGACTTCTAATGCTTAAAAGATATTTATAATTGTTTATTGAAAAGATAATTAGCTTATAATATTATAATACGTGAAAATTATATATGTGAGAATAGCATAGCAGCAATTTGTTTGCTGAAAGTTCTGATATATTAGTGATGATAATGATTGTAATGATTAAAATGTTAGTGTAAAGGAGAAATGAACAAAAACTAAATTAGAAATAAAATATATTATAAATAAATAAAAAC